TACAGAAACGTTGTCCAAGAAAAAAGAACTTTTACTATTTATGAATTAATTAAAAAACAAGAAAATGTTCGGCTTCAGTGATTGTGATTTGTCTCTTTTAATGTATTCTTAATTTCCTAAATCCTAAATCTCAGGACAACTCTTTCGTAATTAGGGGTAAACATGATGTAGGTGTCCAAAATGATGTAACCTTAATGTAGATCGTTTACATCAAATTTACATGCATTTTGGACAACCTTTAAAGTGMGCGATTTTCTCAAGTGATGCTAGTAATGGGAGTAACTATAGAATACCCCGCATCCAAAAAAGCATCCTATGATTTGATCTCAGCAACACGTCAAATTTATTCGGTATACCTATGTCTATATACTTATACATATCCTTGAAGAACTAGAAATTCTTATACGTAGTGGCTACGCGTCAATGCGTGCTACGAGTCAAAAATGGTGTATTAGTATACCTGTGTCTATATATTTATACATATCTTTAGAGAACGAGAAATTCTTATATGTAGAGGCTACGCGTCAAAATCGGAGTATCGTATACCTGTGTTTACGCGTTGACAAGAGAGTTTAAGCATCGCGCTTACGGCAAACGGCTAACGGCAGAGCTGAACCAATGACCTAAGAATTTCGTGCCCGACATTGTGCTTTTGCTAGTCATTGGAAAGAGCGACTCTTCACGATTATGGCAAACTAAAAAAAAACATTTTCGCGTTGAAACTGTAACGGTAAACTCCAAAAAAGCAGCCCACGTGGTCTTTTCTGCAGTTTGCAGTTTTCCGTAAACGTCATGCTTAACCTCTCTAATAGCAAGGTGGGTACGCGTCAACGGGTAGATGGCTACGCGTTAGTTTTCCGTGGTGCGTGGTATTCTGTAGTTGTACCTGGTAATGTACATAGTACCTGGTAATGTACATAGTTGCCTGTAAATGGTATTGTGATGGACAGGAAATTTCAAAATTAAAACGTAAATCATTTCGATTTTAGATAAATAATATTATCTCTCTACTACTATACAATGTATTTATATAATTTCTTAAATCAAGTTGTCCTATACAGTAGCATTAATTTGTTGTGAGAATATAAAACATGCAATTTTTTAAGTACCAATATTCTCAAGTAGCCAAAACACAATAAAAAATACGTGTTTGGACGTGATCTATTACCATTTAGTATAAACATACTAATGGTCTATCACTCATACTGCGCTGTGATTGGCTACTCTACTAATGGTCTATCACTCATACTGCGCTGTGATTGGCTACTCTACTAATGGTCCAATTTGTGATAGACCACTCGCGGGAAAATCAAAATGGCGGCATCTCATTAATAAATTATTTGAAGGATATTTCAATTTGTTTTCATTATTTGACCGATTTAGTATGTTTATACTAAAACAATTAGACCTCTCGGCCTCGTGGACTACGAGCTAATAGCCCATTCGGCCTCGCGGACTCGGCCTCATGGGCTATTAGCTCGTAGTCCACTCGACCTCGAGGTTTAATTGTTTTTAATTGTTTTTTATTTAAAAATATCTAAAACATGGTACACAAATGCTGCGTCCAACGTGTGTATTACCGTTAAGTAGAATTCTACGGCATGAAACCGCACGGTTGAAAATGTTCCAAATGCCAGTGATTATTGCTTAGAATATATTCATGGTGCTGACCGCTATATTCAATTCGGTAATTTAAAACTATATATGTCGGTTTGTGATTAATTCATTGTTTCTCTGGACAATTACTCATCCACTTTCTTTTATAACGCAGAAGCCAAAGCCATCATCGAATGACAGGAATGACGAGCTGTCGTTGGATTATTAATGATGTTGCGCTGCAAGTGCGAAATGATGTAATGATGCAATAAATATATTCGAGTGTTGGATTAGCAATTTGTACATGCGAAATACAGCGATTAAAAGAATATATTGTTATCACCTTCTTGATCTTGATTTCTAGACTTTCACAAAGTCCCTTTTAGCCCCTGGCACAAGGGTCGGACTCTCGCGCTCCGCGCTCGCTTTTTTTTTCCTCGCGCTTCGATCAGAAATAGTTTGATTTTAGAAAGATGAGAAAAGGGGGTATATTGGAGCGAAAAATGACAGTGTCTCAACAGGTTTTGTCCGGGATTGTAGCTACACCTTGCAATGTAGTCGAGACGGAACAACTTTCACAAAGTATGAGTAACAACACCAATAAGAACACCAACACAAGCACCATCCCCAGCACCAACAACACCAATAACAAAACCAACCCCCACACCAATAACAACATCAATAGCAACACCAATAGCAACACCATCATCAATACTAGCATTAACACCAATAACAACTGTTGAGGTTCTGGGAGGCTGGGAGGTCCGTATAGGAAAACACTAACCGAGGTMTTGACAGTACGGAACGAGSGCAGCGACAGGGTCTGAATGGGGTTAACCGACTAGTGACAAATGGACAAAATAACAACTGACTAGCGACAAMTTTGAACAAAAKTTACTGACTACCGACAMCAACATATTTACTGACTGGCGACATTTTCCTTAAAATAAGTATTTTTAGGCAATATTCAAAGATAGTAGCTTCTTGAATACAAGTTTTTTGTATTGTTCAAGCATAACTACATTGGAAGTTTTCAGCGGAAAAATAAATTTTGCTTCAGATTGGTTTCTTTAAGTTTTGCGATGAGCCACTCTAAAACTTTGAGTGGGATCCAATTGACCAATCAAAACACAAGGATTCAATTGTTGGCATTTTAGAAAGCATTCTGTTGACATAACGCACTGTTTTAGATGCATTCAAACTTATAGTTTATCAACCTTTTTTAAATAACAGACTACCGACAAATGCCTAGAATTTTAACTGACTAGCGACAAATGCTTGAAATTTTAACTGACTATTTTAACTGACCCTGCAGCGAGGTCCGTACATAAAGACCGAGGGCAGTGTTTTCCTATACGGACCGACCTATAGCCRGTATACGTAAATAACATTTTTATTTTTTTATTTGTATTTTATGCAACTTTGCTCGCAGCCTAGCTGCGGGATACCGTCGGACCGGGCAGATCGTGAAAAACAGGACCGCGCGCTATATAGCCAATCACATCGCGCGAATGACTAGGATAACGGACCGAAAAAAATATGTATTCATATTGTAGATATTTACTTAAATTAGCACGGTTCGTTTACCAGAACTTTTGCAAGACAATAGGAGTTTATTAGACTTCGATCAATAACATTTTATACCGCAGTGCGTTTGTGCTTTATAGCAYCTAAGTCAGAAATGACTCTTTAAATGACTACCGACAAATGCTCGGAAGCTCTCGCAATTGCCGAAATTGCGACTCGTTCAGCCAAAGGCTCGGGCTCGGGTTTTAAAATGAGGAGCTCGCAGGCTCGGCGATCGAGGCTCGGATTTTTTCTATTCGATACCCCTAATTTTAACTGACTACAGGCACTGAGACCCTAGCCCTCCCCCCTTAACCTCATTGAGACCCTGTATTAAAATTGTACGTACTTTTGATTGTTCTTTTATTCATGGACATATTATTATATTATTACGTTGGAGGAATCCAACTCGAGAATTCAACTCGAAGTCCTAACTCGAAAGATAGGTATCCTCCAAGCGAGTATTCTAATCACCACTTTCTGCAACCACTCCTTTTGTTTACAATCTCCGGGAATCTCTAAGGCATGTTCAAATGAGCTGGATCGACTAATCCCATATAGCTGCATATAGGGCTACAGTAACGCTACCGATGACAGGGGTAAATCATAATTACCAAATTAAAAAAAAAATGCGTTATAAAACAGAATTAGCTGTTTAATGTTATCGTCACTCTTAAACCATGAAAACKCCTTTTGAACGGTAATAGGAAGACCAACAATGGCATTTCTTTCGTTGACTATAAATACACACCAGACGGCGATTCCCAGTGGCCAAAGAACCTATTGTGATGGTTGATCGTTCCTCCCGTGGGGGCCTGACGCGTACGTGGCTTGCTGTTTCCCTGACTACAGCAGTAAACATATCCATCTGAAAGATTCGGAAAATCCACGACGTGGAGTCCTTAGAGTTGTAATTTAGCTTTAGTTATCTTTCTGTATCTTTTCAGACTTATAAACTCATGATATAAAATTCTAGAACGTTTTCTTTCATGAAATGTTTACAGTTCAAATTGTATTTTTACATCCATGTATTTTMATCTCATTCGCCTGATTATAGTTTTGYAATAAAGCCGAAAGATTGTCAAGTTTTCTTCAATTCTTTATTTTAAATAATTAACATTAACTCAATTTTTGTATCATCAAGAACGAAAAGGTGGAACGTTCTGTGGTATTGTTGGAATTTCAGAGGTCTTCAATAGTATTCCGTTGAATCCTGGCAAATCTTTGGCAACAGCTAGTACAGTGCAAGAATTTCACGAGATTTTTGTCGTGCTGTTTATCCAAATGGTAGTAGTTTCTCTCCGATAAATGAACTGTGCAACTTTTCCTGTGATTTGGAAACAATAACTGAACAACTCGATGAAGGCCGCTACAGTTCATCTATACAGTTCACCTATCCCTACCCC